AAAGCCAGCACTCGGCTGGGCACATGACCCGGAGGACAGAACGCTCCTGCCCCCGGGCCCTTCCCCTGGAGTCTGGCGAACAATGCTGTCCAGTGTCACGCAGGCCAAGTTCCTCGAGGAAGGAGCCGCTTTGGGTCTCGAGCTGCCAGGGCAGGCCCCATGGGGGGCTGGGACAGATCTGGGCAGGGCTGGCGGAAGGGCAGGACAAGCAGGGCGTATGGCCTCGGGGCTGCGACCTACCTGCCTGGGTGCATCCTCCGTGGGCGGGGCAGGTGGGGGTTGCTGACTGTTCCGGGGGCACCATGGAGGTTCCAGCCGACAGAAATTGCCCCAGGTGGGGCCAGGATAAGGAGGAGGGGCGGACTCGAAGGGCGAGGTTGTGCTGTGGCTCTAAAGGGTGGGTCTTTGGACACGGCTTCCGTCCTCTGTGCAGGGCTGCTCCCTTCTGCCCCTGGGCCTGGGGAGCCGGGCTGGGCCCTCCCAGGGTTCCCTGCCCTGCTGCGGGTGGCCCAGGCTGGAGCACTTGCTTGGTGCAGGGGCCTGGCTGGGGCCGGAAGGCCTGGCTCCAGGGCCGGGTGAGACTGCCCCCCTGGTTCTCCACGGCTGGCCTCTGCCCACTGGCAGACCCAGGGCCAGGCGGGTCGCCGGATGGAGTGTGCTGCAACGCCTGGATCTGTGCAGCAGACTCGGGCAGCAAGTTATTCTGCTGCTGGAGCTCCAAGTCCTTCCTCAGGGAGGAAATCCCATTCTCTCTTCATGGCCTCAGTGAGACCGTGCAGGAAGGAGCAACAAAACCAGTCCTCATTGCTCCCAACCAAGATCCCTCTGACAGCTCAGTCCTGGGGTGTGTGTGCGGGCACCTATGTACACATGCCTGTAAGTGCATGTGTATGCATTGTGCATGTGGGAGTGATTGCATGCATGTGTGCATGAGCGTGTCTGTGTGCCTGTGTGCGTGTACACATGTGTGTATATTGCATGTGCTCAACAGTGTTTATGTACTTGTGTGTGTCTGTGCATGCACGTGCATGCTGTAGCAGAGTCAGAATTAAACCACACAGCATCCTGGGCACAGGCCCACGCCGACCCTGGGTGGATGCTCCCAGGCCCAGAGGCCCACTGCCTTGTGGTGATTAAAGGGGAGGCCTCCATGTCAGCCGGGTCTGAGCACTCTGAGGGCACCGCGGGCGAGCCAGCAAGCAGTGTTGCGAGACACCTTCCCGTGCCAGATGCAGCACCGGGGGCGAGGCCAGCGAGTAGGGGGAGAAGATGGACTCAGGCCCCCAGCCCCAGGCAAGGGAGACAGAGGGACAGTCAGAAGCCAGAGGTCTCCGAGGCCCCCTCCACAGAGCTGCGCTGCCCAGGATAAAACTTCAGTTAGTTAAAATAAAGTCAGATTCAAAACTCGGTTCCTGGCGGCCCTGGGCCATGAGCCCCCTGTAGCCACATGTGGCCAGTGACTGCTGTCCTGGACAGTGCAGACAGACACACCCACCACCGAGGCTGTTCTGTTGGGCTGGGCTGGGCTGGAAAATAAGGAAGGTGACCCCAGAGTCCAGGCCAGACTTGGGGCCCACTGGTAGGCTCAGAGATGGGCACCGTCTGTTTCCGGGTAGCCAGGGCAGGGTGAGAACCGCTGGCCAGAGATAGCACTTAGGAGAGAACCCTGCTGCCAGGAGGTCTGGCCGCCGCTGACATTTGAAGGGCTGACCATTCGTAAAGGCTTTCTCGTGGCTGGGCCTGGCTGACCCAAGACCTGCAGAGAGTTCTGACTGCCCATTTATAAGTGGTTGAGGCCAGTATTTTCCAAAGAAAGTGATGCTTAATTTCACAGAAAACTTAAAAAAACCAGAAAGGCTGGGGTAGGGGCTGTAACAGCTGTGCTTGGGACGTGCTCCCGTGTGCAGGGCCATTCTGATGTGTCACCGTGCGAACACGAGGCCCGAAGCCGTTCACGGAAATCTTGCGTCAGTCTCTACTTCCTTTTTTCCAATTGACACCGAGTAGAGCTCATGTTCTGTGGAAAGGGTTCTGCCGAAGTCAGTCCTTCCAGGTTGAGGGTTAGGGTTAGGGTTAGGGTTAGGGTTAGGGTTAGGGCCACTTTCTAACCTCAGAAATACTTCCTGGAGCCACCAACTGGGGGACTATAGACCGAATCCTAACCCTGACCCTGGCCTTAACCCTAACCTTAACCCTACCCCTAACCCTGCCCCTGGCCCTCACCCCCATCCTAACCCAGACTGCTTGATTTCACCCATGAAATTCATCTGCCAGCATTTAAAAGCCAGGAGATTCCCCCAAGTCCAGACCCTCTCGACCCCTCAGAAGCCTGGCTGGGCCTGGGTCCCGCAGGGAGACCCTGACAGGAGCAGCACGGCCAGATTTCCCATGGCCCCCGCTGTGGCCCAGCACCCTGCCCACCACCAACCTCCTTTCCTAGCGGCCAGTGTGGAATTGCACCACACAGCCGCGCAGTCACTCTGTGAAAGCGTCCTGTGACTGCCAGCATGCCGCCTGCTTCTCAACTTCAAGTGGCTCCTGGAATCGCCCTCTGTCTCACGAAGGCTGGGCTCGTGGTCAGGGCCATGCCCAGCCGGGGTCTGTCAAGGAGGACGCCCAGGGTCACAAAAAGGGATCTGCTCTGGGTACCCGCTGTGGCAAGCTGGCTCGCAGGAGGGCACCCTCTACCCAGGCAACAGCCTTCTGAGAACGCCAGGGAGGGAGGGACCATGGCTAAGGTGGGGTCCACTGGGCTGTGGCCTG